TGCAGGTGTACGTGGCGGCCATGTTGGACGTAGGACCAGCGGTACTCTGTGACGGGAGGGTCGGCCTTACAGGAGCAGGACACCAGAGCACTGCCCCCTTCATGTACCATCAAGGTCTGCACATGGACCTGCACATCTGTGGGGGAGACTGGGACCAGAAGCACACAGAGGACATGGTGAGGCGGGCCAGTGTGTCTCTGGTCTCTCTCTCTGGTCTCTCTCTGGTCTCTTTCTGGTCTCTCTCTGGTGTCTCTCTGGTCTCTCTCTGGTCTCTCTCTGGTGTCTCTCTGGTCTCTCTCTGGTCTCTCTCTGGTCTCTCTCTGTTCTCTCTCTGGTCTCTTTCTGGTCTCTCTCTGGTCTCTCTCTCTGGTCTCTCTCTGGTCTCTCTCTCTCTCTGGTCTCTCTCTGGTCTCTCTCTCTCTCTGGTCTCTCTCTGGTCTCTCTCTGGTCTCTCACTGGTCTCTCTCAGGTCTCTCACTGGTCTCTCTCTGGTCTCTCTCTGGTCTCTCTCTGGTCTCTCACTGGTCTCTCACTGGTCTCTCACTGGTCTCTCTCTGGTCTCTCTCTGGTCTCTCTCTCTGGTCTCTCTCTCTGGTCTCTCTCTGGTCTCTCTCTCTGGTCTCTCTCACTGGTCTCTCTCTGGTCTCTCTCTAATCTCTCTCTGGTCTCTCTCTGGTCTCTCTCTGGTCTCTCTCTCTGATCTCTCTCTGGTCTCTCTCTGGTCTCTCTCTGGTCTCTCTCTGGTCTCTCACTGGTCTCTCTCTGGTCTCTCTCTCTGATCTCTCTCTGGTCTCTCTCTGGTCTCTCTCTGGTCTCTCTCAGGTCTCTCTCTGGTCTCTCTCTGGTCTCTCACTGGTCTCTCTCTGGTCTCTCTCTGGTCTCTCTCTGGTCTCTCTCTGGTCTCTCTCTCTGGTCTCTCTCTCTGGTCTCTCTCTGGTCTCTCTCTGGTCTCTCTCTGGTCTCTCTCTGGTCTCTCTCTGATCTCTCTCTGGTCTCTCTCTCTCTGGTCTCTCTCTCTGATCTCTCTCTGGTCTCTCTCTGGTCTCTCTCTGGTCTCTCTCTGGTCTCTCTCTCTGGTCTCTCTCTGGTCTCTCTCTCTGGTCTCTCTCTCTGGTCTCTCTCTGGTCTCTCTCTCTGGTCTCTCTCACTGGTCTCTCTCTGGTCTCTCTCTGATCTCTCTCTGGTCTCTCTCTGGTCTCTCTCTGGTCTCTCTCTCTGGTCTCTCTCTGGTCTCTCTCTGGTCTCTCTCTGGTCTCTCTCTGGTCTCTCTCTGGTCTCCCACTGGTCTCTCTCTGGTCTCTCACTGGTCTCTCTCTGGTCTCTCTCTGGTCTCTCTCTGGTCTCTCTCTGGTCTCTCTCTGGTCTCACTCACAGGTCACGTGTAGATCCAGGTGGACTGCTGGTCTCTTTCCTCCTGGATAGCGGGCCTCACAGCGGACTCGGGGCTGGACCTGGTGTGAGGCGATGAAGGAGAGGGTGGAGGTGAGGACGGGGCGGTGGGGCGGGGGGGAGAGGGGGGAGGTCAGGCCGGGGTGGGGGGGCAGGGGAGGCAGGATGAGCTGTGTCCAGGACTCGGAGCTGTTGGCTGGGGCTCCTCGGACCCAGCTCCAGGTCAGAGACGGAGGTTTGGACTGACAGGAGAACTCTGTGGAGCAGTTGAGGGTCACCACCTGTCCCTCTGTGAAGGCCCAGGTCCCAGTGATGACGGGGGCAGAGGGCTGATCTGTGCGGACGGAAGGACATGAGCTCATGGGTTTGGGTCCCTTTAACACTAGGAATATGTCTCTCCAGACTCTTTAACTGTATTGTACTAAGTCTATAGTATCTCATTTTAACCGTTCATATAATAATAATCATTAGTCAATATTATTTTAATAATTGAGAATGCATTGTTAACCTATTGTATCAATGTGTATGTGTGTATGTGGTCTCTCTCAGGTCTTTCTCTGGTCTCTCTCTGGTCTCTCTCTGGTCTCTCTCTGGTCTCTCTCTGGTCCCTCTCTCTGGTCTCTCTCTCTGGTCCCTCTCTCTGGTCTCTCTCTCTGGTCTCTCTCTGGTCTCTCTCTGGTCTCTCTCTGGTCTCTCTCTCTCTCTGGTCTCTCTCTCTGGTCTCTCTCTCTGGTCTCTCTCTCCGGTCTCTCTCTGGTCTCTCTCTGGTCTCTCTCTGGTCTTTCTCTGGTCTCTCTGGTCGCTCTCTGGTCTCTCTCTGCTCTCTCTGGTCTCTCTCTCTGGTCTGTCTCTGGTCTGTCTCTGGTCCCTCTCTGGCGTCTCTCTGGTCTCTCTCTGGTCTCTCTCTGGTCTCTCTCTGGTCTCTCTGGTCTCTCTCTCTGGTCTCTCTCTGCTCTCTCTGGTTTCTCTCTCTGGTCTGTCTCTGGTTTCTCTCTGGTCCCTCTCTGGCGTCTCTCTGGTCTCTCTCTGGTCCCTCTCTGGCGTCTCTCTGGTCTCTCTCTGGTCTCTCTCTGGTCCCTCTCTGGCGTCTCTCTGGTCTCTCTCTGGTCTCTCTCTGGTCCCTCTCTGGCGTCTCTCTGGTCTCTCTCTGGTCTCTCTCTGGTCTCTCTCTCTGGTCTCTCTCTGGTCTCTCTCTGGTCTCTCTCTGGTGCCTCTCGGGCCTCCCTCGGGCCTCCCTCGGGCCTCCCTCGGGCCTCACCTGTGACCTGCAGGTTGAACGTGCTGGCCTTTCCCCAGAGAAGGTCCCGTTCACTTTTCAGAGCCACCTCGTACATCCTGGAGTCTCCTCGGTCCACTCGGCTGAACCGCACCGAGCAGTCTCCCTCTGACACCGGTCCCACCAGAGACGCCCTCCCCTGGTAGTCCCGGTTCACCTGGTCCTGGTCCTGGCTGTTGAAGGCAGTGCTGCGCAGGGGGAACAGAGGGCCCCCTCCCCTGAAGCGGATCCGGACGTCCACTCGCTCCCTCCTCCTGCTGAGGGGGGAGACGGTGGGGGAGGGGGGGAAGGAGCAGGGGATGACCACACAGAAGCCAGACAGAGCCGAGATCCGAGGGGGGACAGAGGGGACGGGGGACACGGCCTGCACCCCCCTCCACAGCGCTAAAGGAAATGGAAAGAGTTATTATGAGTCTGTGGTGTCCAGGGTTTGCTGCATGTGGATCAGACACGTCCACATCGGTTCAATTCATTGTATTTTTGTACAGCTCTAAATCACATCAATCATTTCTTACAGGACTTTACAAAACCCTCTGAGATTCGATTGGCCAGCACAGATCAGAGACTCAAAGATACATTCAATGATTAAGAAACACAAAGACATCTGTGAAGTCCATAGATGTTCTGAATGTGGAGAGTCCTGGGTCATCTCTGTCCTCAGACCTACATCAGAGGAACACTTCGGTCCTCAGACCTACATCAGAGGAACACCTCTGTCCTCAGACCTACATCAGAGGAACACCTCTGTCCTCAGACCTACATCAGAGGAACACCTCTGTCCTCAGACCTACATCAGAGGAACACCTCTGTCAGACCTACATCAGAGGAACACCTCTGTCAGACCTACATCAGAGGAACACCTCTGTCCTCAGACCTACATCAGAGGAACACCTCTGTCAGACCTACATCAGAGGAACACCTCTGTCAGACCTACATCAGAGGAACATCTCTGTCCTCAGACCTACATCAGAGGAACACCTCTGTCCTCAGACCTACATCAGAGGAACACCTCTGTCCTCAGACCTACATCAGAGGAACACCTCTGTCCTCAGACCTACATCAGAGGAACACCTCTGTCCTCAGACCTACATCAGAGGAACACCTCTGTCAGACCTACATCAGAGGAACATCTCTGTCCTCAGACCTACATCAGAGGAACACCTCTGTCCTCAGACCTACATCAGAGGAACACCTCTGTCCTCAGACCTACATCAGAGGAACATCTCTGTCCTCAGACCTACATCAGAGGAACACCTCTGTCAGACCTACATCAGAGGAACACCTCTGTCCTCAGACCTACATCAGTGGAACATCTCTGTCAGACCTACATCAGAGGAACACCTCTGTCCTCAGACCTACATCAGAGGAACACCTCTGTCCTCAGACCTACATCAGAGGAACACCTCTGTCCTCAGACCTACATCAGAGGAACACCTCTGTCCTCAGACCTACATCAGAGGAACACCTCTGTCAGACCTACATCAGAGGAACACCTCTGTCCTCAGACCTACATCAGAGGAACACCTCTGTCAGACCTACATCAGAGGAACACCTCTGTCCTCAGACCTACATCAGTGGAACATCTCTGTCAGACCTACATCAGAGGAACACCTCTGTCCTCAGACCTACATCAGAGGAACATCTCTGTCAGACCTACATCAGAGGAACATCTCTGTCCTCAGACCTACATCAGAGGAACACCTCTGTCCTCAGACCTACATCAGAGGAACACCTCTGTCAGACCTACATCAGAGGAACACCTCTGTCCTCAGACCTACATCAGTGGAACATCTCTGTCAGACCTACATCAGAGGAACACCTCTGTCCTCAGACCTACATCAGAGGAACACCTCTGTCAGACCTACATCAGAGGAACATCTCTGTCCTCAGACCTACATCAGAGGAACATCTCTGTCAGACCTACATCAGAGGAACACCTCTGTCCTCAGACCTACATCAGAGGAACATCTCTGTCAGACCTACATCAGAGGAACACCTCTGTCCTCAGACCTACATCAGAGGAACACCTCTGTCAGACCTACATCAGAGGAACACCTCTGTCCTCAGACCTACATCAGAGGAACACCTCTGTCAGACCTACATCAGAGGAACACCTCTGTCTCAGACCTACATCAGAGGAACATCTCTGTCAGACCTACATCAGAGGAACACCTCTGTCCTCAGACCTACATCAGAGGAACACCTCTGTCAGACCTACATCAGAGGAACACCTCTGTCCTCAGACCTACATCAGAGGAACACTTCGGTCCTCAGACCTACATCAGAGGAACACCTCTGTCCTCAGACCTACATCAGAGGAACACCTCTGTCCTCAGACCTACATCAGAGGAACACCTCTGTCCTCAGACCTACATCAGAGGAACACCTCTGTCAGACCTACATCAGAGGAACACCTCTGTCAGACCTACATCAGAGGAACACCTCTGTCCTCAGACCTACATCAGAGGAACATCTCTGTCCTCAGACCTACATCAGAGGAACACCTCTGTCCTCAGACCTACATCAGAGGAACATCTCTGTCAGACCTACATCAGAGGAACACCTCTGTCCTTAGACCTACATCAGAGGAACACCTCTGTCCTCAGACCTACATCAGTGGAACATCTCTGTCCTCAGACCTACATCAGAGGAACATCTCTGTCCTCAGACCTACATCAGAGGAACACCTCTGTCCTTAGACCTACATCAGAGGAACACCTCTGTCAGACCTACATCAGAGGAACACCTCTGTCCTCAGACCTACATCAGAGGAACACCTCTGTCCTCAGACCTACATCAGAGGAACACCTCTGTCCTTAGACCTACATCAGAGGAACACCTCTGTCAGACCTACATCAGAGGAACACCTCTGTCCTCAGACCTACATCAGAGGAACACCTCTGTCCTTAGACCTACATCAGAGGAACACCTCTGTCCTCAGACCTACATCAGTGGAACATCTCTGTCCTCAGACCTACATCAGAGGAACACCTCTGTCCTTAGACCTACATCAGAGGAACACCTCTGTCCTCAGACCTACATCAGAGGAACACCTCTGTCAGACCTACATCAGAGGAACATCTCTGTCCTCAGACCTACATCAGAGGAACACCTCTGTCCTCAGACCTACATCAGAGGAACATCTCTGTCCTCAGACCTACATCAGAGGAACATCTCTGTCAGACCTACATCAGAGGAACACCTCTGTCCTTAGACCTACATCAGAGGAACACCTCTGTCAGACCTACATCAGAGGAACACCTCTGTCCTCAGACCTACATCAGAGGAACACCTCTGTCCTCAGACCTACATCAGAGGAACACCTCTGTCCTCAGACCTACATCAGAGGAACATCTCTGTCAGACCTACATCAGAGGAACATCTCTGTCCTCAGACCTACATCAGAGGAACACTCTGTCCTCAGACCTACATCAGAGGAACACCTCTGTCCTTAGACCTACATCAGAGGAACATCTCTGTCCTTAGACCTACATCAGAGGAACACCTCTGTCCTCAGACCTACATCAGAGGAACACCTCTGTCCTCAGACCTACATCAGAGGAACATCTCTGTCAGACCTACATCAGAGGAACACCTCTGTCAGACCTACATCAGAGGAACACCTCTGTCCTCAGACCTACATCAGAGGAACATCTCTGTCCTCAGACCTACATCAGAGGAACACCTCTGTCCTTAGACCTACATCAGAGGAACACCTCTGTCCTCAGACCTACATCAGAGGAACATCTCTGAAGTTTTGGGTGATTTTTCTCTTTCATCTTTAGCCGTAGGGCAGTCCATCCTCTGCATTTGACCCTGATGCCACTAAGGCTTACGTCAGGAGCAGTGGTTGCCGTAGTAACAGCGCCCAGAACCATCTCCAGATGTTGATGTTCTGGGTCAGGACCAGAGCTGGAGGATTTAACCTAGTGAGCATGTTTTTAGTGGCAGGGGAAACCGGAGCACCCGGAGGAAAGCTTCACAGACACAGGGAGAACATGCAAACTCCACTCAGAAAGACCCTGTTCTGACTGGGATTCAAACCCAGGACCTTCTGACTGAGAAGCTTTGAGCGCTAACTCAGAATGTGCAGAACCTACAGAGTAAAAACCACAGGACCTGTCTTTACATAAACCTATGTGTAAAAGAAACTTACCACAAACAAACACAGGCAGGACCAATCCAGCAGCAACATGCATTCTGATCCAGTCCCAACTGGTCTGCTCCACTCCGAACTGGTCTGATCCAGTCCCAACTGGTCTGATCCAGTCCCAACTGGTCTGATCCACTCCCAACTGGTCTGCTCCAGTCCCAACTGGTCTGATCCAGTCCCAACTGGTCTGATCCACTCCGAACTGGTCTGATCCAGTCCCAACTGGTCTGATCCACTCCCAACTGGTCTGATCCAGTCCCAACTGGTCTGATCCACTCCCAACTGGTCTGCTCCAGTCCCAACTGGTCTAGTCCCAGCTCGTCTGTTCTAGTCCGAGCTCGTCTGGACGGACCGCTGCAAAACCAGGAAGTGTCCAGTTCCTGTCATGAGGAACACGGTCCTGTCCAAAACAAAACAGACAAATGCAGGATTTTTGTCACATTTTTACAAAAGATATCACTTTCCACTCGTTGATCCAGAGGTAGTTTTATTCTGAGGTCGTTCTTTTGTTAAAACAGAGATGGAAAAATAAAGTTTATTTTAGGAAACAAAACCTCAGCGTTCTGACTCATGGTCACGCTGCAGCCACTTCCTCTGATCCTCGGCTCCGTCTACGGTCAGGATTTAATGATGATGTCATTCACAGACTTATACAATAACATAGTGATTACATCATACATTCTGTGGTATAGTCTCAAATATTTATCTGCACTGGTTAGACGCTAAACTGCCTTCTTTTGACTTTGTAATGACAATAAAGTTTAATCTAATCTAAATATATACAAACTACATACATAAAATACTAAATTATGGGTTTATCTGAGTAGAAAACATGCCGTATTATTGCTACAAGAGAGTCCTGTGAGTCACTGTTGGAGGAATTTAGACTGAGAGCTGATTGGCTGAGAGCTGATTGGCTGAGAGGTGATTGGCTGAGAGGTGATTGGCTGAGAGCTGATTGGCTGAGAGCTGATTGGCTGAGAGCTGATTGACTGAGAGCTGATTGACTGAGAGCTGATTGGCTGAGAGCTGATTGGCTGAGAGCTGATTGGCCGAGAGCTGATTGGCTGAGAGGTGATTGGCCGAGAGCTGATTGGCTGAGCGAGGCTGGTCGTCTTTGACGGGACAGAGGTCAAACATACTGAATGTGAAAACTAGAGATAGTTTTAAGGAAAAGGGACTGGTTGGAGGCTGAGATCGTATCACAGTTGTGGTGAAGAGGGAGCAGCGTCTGCATTCATCCATCCATCTTCTTCCCCTTAATCCATGTCTGGGTGGGGGGTGGCAGTCAGAGCACCAGCCCCTCACTGATCCTCCTGCAGGTGCTGAGTCCACAGGAGCTGAGATCTTTCAGTGGGGGCTTCAGGCAAAGTGGGGTTAAGTGTCTTGCCCAAGGACACAACAACAGCAGACATCAGTGGGAGTCGTGAAGTGGGTCTCATGGTGGACTCGAACCCACAACCTCCAGGCTCTAAGGCCAATGCTCTACACACTGAGTCTGTGTTCCCTCCTCATCTCTGGTCATAAGCTTCCTGCGCAGAGATAGGGGGAGGAGCTCAGTCACACAGGAGGAGCTTTGAGTAGAGCTGCTGCTTCTCCATGTTAAGAGGAACCAGTGGAGGTGGCTTGGGCATCTGTTTGGGATACCCCCTGGACAGGATTCCCCCAGATGAGCTGCAGGTGTCTGTGGAGAGGGAGGTCTGGGCGTCTCTGCTCAGACTGCTGCCTCTGCAACACGGCAACAGATAAAGCGGAAGAAATCGATGGATAGTGGTGGTGGGTCATATTTAGCTTGAGAACAGAGCAACATGAGACTCGAGCCACAGCCGTGACAGAAAACAGGCAAGTTCTCGTCACAACATCACAGTTGGTCGTTCATTTCATTACAATTTCAGAAATAAGTTTATCATTCCAATAAATTCAATATATTTGTGTAAAAACAGTCGTCTTGGAGAACTTTACAAAGCTGTCGATTCCTCAACAACAGATCAGAGAATCGAACCATTGGTCCAGAGGGAGCGGGACGACCACTGTCCTGACATGTCCAAACTCTGGAAAGCAGCTTCAGTGACAGACTGATCCACCCTCTCTGTGTGAAGGAGAGGTTTCGCAGGTATTTCCTTCCTGCTGCTGTTTCACACATCACCTGTGGGTACCGTCTGCATCTGCAACATTCATTAATCATTATTTTCTGATCTTCTTCCTGTTTCCTCCTCTAGTCTTCAGTGAACCGTTTGGAGCTAGTTCTAAACCCAGAATAGTTTTGTGTGTTTTGACATAATTTGGACAAATGCACTACTCTCTATTCTCAAACTCTTTAAAGCAGTGAATCTTTAGTGTTCTCCTTTAGTCCTCCGTCTCGGTCGCTGTGGGTTCTTTTATCTTATCTTATTTATACCTTTGTTTGCCCACAGGCTCGCAAAGGATCATGGGAGTTTGCTCAACAGTCTATTCTATTTATTTATTGTGTGTTTGGATGGACCCGCTCCAGACAGACTCAGAACACACACTCACTCACCGTAAACTACCACTAAAAACTGTACTGGTTTTGGTTTAGGGGAAACATGGGGAGAACATGCAAACTCCAGAATGCTATCAGAGGTCATTCACTGGAGGAAGGAACCTTGGATCCCCGGTTGTCCAAGATGGCGGCCTGTTCAACTCAGTGGCTTGTGCTCAGTGTGCCCGAGCCCCGGGAGCCGGGCCCTGGGACTGACAGGACCATGGTCTAACCCGGGGTTTGCTGCAGACGTGAAGTCAAAAGTTTAATGTTCAAAAAGAGAAAACAGTCATGAAGCTTCACAAGCTGCTGGAAGTTCAAGACTGTTTGGATTTTCACACAGTGGCTGAGCGGAGTTTGCATGTTCTCCTCGTGTCTGCGTAGCTTTCCTAATCCAATCCACTTTATTTATATAGCACATTTCATAAACGAGCAGTTTCCAAAGTGCTCTACAACGATAAATAAATACATCCATCCATCCATCCATTTTCCTCCGCTTCATCCGTTGCCGGGTCGCGGGGGCAGCAGTCTAAGCAGAGACGCCCAGACTTCCCTATCCACACACACTTCCTCCAGCTCGTCCGGGGGGACCCCAAGGCGTTCCCAGGCCAGCTGAGAGACATAGTCTCTCCAGCGTGTCCTGGGTCTTCCCCGGGGCCTCCTCCCGGTGGGACGTGCCCGGAACACCTCCCCAGGAAGGTGTCCACACATATATAAAAACCAATAACAAACACAGAGGACCACACGACTCCCGCGGTGTGTAAAGCCAGAGAATAAAAGTGGGTCTTAGGACGAGACTCTCCATCGGATACTCGAGGGTTCATGGGAGTTCGCCCAACCTGTCCACATGTGCTTTGTGGATTTGGAGAAGGCGTTCGACTGTGTTCCCCGGGGTGTACTTTGGGGGGTTCTCCGGGAGTACGGGGTCCGGGGTCCTCTGCTGAGGGCCGTCCGGTCCCTGTATGACCAGAGCCAGAGCTGTGTTCATCAGCAGTAAGTCAGACCTGTTCCCGGTGTTGGCCTCCACCAGGACCACAGCCAGGGGCCGGAGGGGTCCGGTTCAGAGACCACAGCCAAGGGCCAGAGGGGGTCCGGTTCAGAGACCACAGCCAGGGGCCGGAGGGGTCCGGTTCAGAGACCACAGCCAAGGGCCAGAGGGGGTCCGGTTCAGAGACCACAGCCAGGGGCCGGAGGGGGTCCGGTTCAGAGACCACAGCCAGGGGCCGGAGGGGGTCCGGTTCAGAGACCACAGCCAGGGGCCGGAGGGGCTCCGGTTCAGAGACCACAGCCAGGGGCCAGAGGGGCTCCGGTTCAGAGACCACAGCCAGGGGCCGGAGGGGGTCCGGTTCAGAGACCACAGCCAGGGGCCGGAGGGGGTCCGGTTCAGAGACCACAGCCAGGGGCCGGAGGGGGTCCGGTTCAGAGACCACAGGATTCCATCTCTGCTGTTTGCAGATGATGTTGTGGCTCCAACGAACCAGGACCTGCAACATCCTCTCCAGGTCCTGGTCCTCTCCAGGTCCTGGTCCTCTCCAGGTCCTGGTCCTCTCCAGGTCCTGGTCCTCTCCAGGTCCTGGTCCTCTCCAGGTCCTGGTCCTCTCCAGGTCCTGGTCCTCTCCAAGTGGAGGAGTTCAAGTATCTCGGGGTCTTGTTCTCAGTGAGGGAAGGATGGAGCGTGAGATTGACAGGCGGATCGGTGCAGCGTGCGCAGTGATGCGGTCGCTGTATCGGACCGTTGTGGTGAAGAGGGAGCAGCGTCTGCAGTCAGAGCTGTATCGGACCGTTGTGGTGAAGAGGGAGCAGCGTCTGCAGTCAGAGCTGTATCGGACTGTTGTGGTGAAGAGGGAGCAGCGTCTGCAGTCAGAGCTGTACCTTGATTTACCTGGCAGTTCCTGTGGGTACTTTGGGCAGTGCAACAACACTCATTGTCAATCTCTCCAGCTGCAGGGGAAGCCAGATCCTGTCAGACCTCTGAAGCTAAGCAGGGCAGGGCTTGGTTAATACTGTGATGGGAGACCTCTGGGACAGCAGGTGCCACAGTGGGGCGGCTGATCTGAGAGATCTGAGAGTCCTGAAAAGAACTGTATGAAGCCGATGCTACGTGGGCAATAAAGTTTATTTATGGCTTTAAGATACATCTAGACTGTGAACCATCTGAACTTTCTGAACAATAATCTGTGAAACTGCCGCTCTCTGAATGACTGGCTTCACTTCAAACAGAACAACACTTGGACTTTGGACTTTTTATCACCTCCAACTTTCACTTCATTCACCGACTGTGGTAGTTCAGGAGTGGGTCACGGAGATAACAGTAAGAATGTGGGATTGGTTTTACCGCCTGTCGACTCTCTCTGGACCTCAGCGACTCTCAGAGAGGTTTGTCTAGACCTCGGTGACTCTCAGAGAGAGGTTTGTCTGGACCTCAGTGACTTCCAGAGAGGTTTGTCTAGACCTCAGCGACTCTCAGAGAGGTTTGTCTAGACCTCGGTGACTCTCAGAGAGAGGTTTGTCTGGACCTCAGTGACTTCCAGAGAGGTTTGTCTGGACCTCAGTGACTTCCAGAGAGGTTTGTCTGGACCTCAGTGACTTCCAGAGAGGTTTGTCTGGACCTCAGCGACTCTCAGAGAGGTTTGTCTGGACCTCAGTGACTTCCAGAGAAAGAGAGGTTTGTCTGGACCTCAGTGACTTCCAGAGAGAGAGAGATTTGTCTAGACCTCAGTGACCTCCAGAGAGAGGTTTGTCTGGACCTCAGTGACTTCCAGAGAGAGCTTTGTCTGGACCTCAGTGACTTCCAGAGAGAGGTTAGTCTGGACCTCAGTGACTTCCAGAGAGAGGTTAGTCTGGACCTCAGTGACTTCCAGAGAGGTTTGTCTGGACCTCAGCGACTCTCAGAGAGGTTTGTCTGGACCTCAGCGACTTCCAGAGAGAGGTTTGTCTGGACCTCAGCGACTTCCAGAGAGAGGTTTGTCTGGACCTCAGTGACTTCCAGAGAGAGGTTTGTCTGGACCTCAGCGACTTCCAGAGAGAGGTTTGTCTGGACCTCAGTGACCTCCAGAGAGAGGTTTGTCTAGACCTCAGTGACTTCCAGAGAGAGGTTTGTCTGGACCTCAGTGACTTCCAGAGAGGTTTGTCTAGACCTCAGTGACTTCCAGAGAGGTTTGTCTGGACCTCAGTGACCTCCAGAGAGAGGTTTGTCTGGACCTCAGTGACCTCCAGAGAGAGGTTTGTCTGGACCTCAGTGACTTCCAGAGAGGTTTGTCTAGACCTCAGTGACTTCCAGAGAGGTTTGTCTGGACCTCAGTGACCTCCAGAGAGAGGTTTGTCTGGACCTCAGTGACCTCCAGAGAGAGGTTTGTCTGGACCTCAGCGCCTGTCTGGAGCCATGTCCGGGTCTCAGCAGCTGCTCCGCTCCCACAGAGAGAGGCTCCTGTCCTGGGTGTGTGAGCACCCTGCCCCTCTGCTGCGATGGCTGTGTGAGGCCGAGGTCCTGTCCTGGGCCCGGTACCTGTCGCTGCTGGAGACGAGCAGCTCCAACGCCGTGGTGCAGGCTCTGGAGGAGGTGAGCGCCTCAGAGGAGAGCAGCAGGAGGTTCCTGGAGGTGTTGGAGCAGGTGCAGGATTACTATGGACACGACTTACAGCTTTGGGTGAAGAAGAACTGCACGAGAGAGACACGGGAGACGAGAGAGCGCCCACAAGGTACTGCTGCTGTTCCTGACTTTATCTGTTTATATGTTTATCTGTTTGTTTGTTTGTTTGTTTGTTTGTGTGTTTGTTTGTTTGTTTGTTTGTGTGTTTGTTTGTGTGTGTGTTTGTTTGTGTGTTTGTGTGTTTGTTTGTGTGTTTGTTTGTGTGTTTGTTTGTGTGTTTGTGTGTTTGTTTGTGTGTTTGTTTGTGTGTTTGTGTGTGTGTTTGTGTGTTTGTTTGTGTGTTTGTGTGTCTGCTGCTGATGGACTCTTGGATAAAAAACGTATCTACTTTACTTTGTGCAATAACCACATTTCACTGTCACTTTACTGAGTCCAGAGCCTCATGAAGCTAATGTACAGATGTAAACATACAGCTGCTGCTAATGTACAGATGTAAACATACAGCTGCTAATGTACAGATGTAAACATACAGCTGCTAATGTACAGATGTAAACATACAGCTGCTAATGTACAGATGTAAACATACAGCTGCTAATGTACAGGTGTAAACATACTGCTGCTAATGTACAGGTGTAAACATACTGCTGCTAATGTACAGGTGTAAACATACTGCTGCTAATGTACAGGTGTAAACATACTGCTGCTAATGTACAGATGTAAACATACTGCTGCTAATGTACAGATGTAAACATACTGCTGCTAATGTACAGGTGTAAACATACTGCTGCTAATGTACAGGTGTAAACATACTGCTGCTAATGTACAGGTGTAAACATACTGCTGCTAATGTACAGGTGTAAACATACTGCTGCTAATGTACAGGTGTAAACATACTGCTGCTAATGTACAGGTGTAAACATACTGCTGCTAATGTACAGGTGTAAACATACTGCTGCTAATGTACAGGTGTAAACATACTGCTGCTAATGTACAGGTGTAAACATACTGCTGCTACTGTACAGGTGTAAACATACTGCTGCTAATGTACAGGTGTAAACATACTGCTGCTAATGTACAGATGTAAACATACTGCTGCTAATGTACAGGTGTAAACATACTGCTGCTACTGTACAGGTGTAAACATACTGCTGCTACTGTACAGGTGTAAACATACTGCTGCTAATGTACAGGTGTAAACATACTGCTGCTAATGTACAGGTGTAAACATACTGCTGCTACTGTACAGGTGTAAACATACTGCTGCTAATGTACAGGTGTAAACATACAGCTGCTAATGTACAGGTGTAAACATACTGCTGCTACTGTACAGGTGTAAACATACTGCTGCTACTGTACAGGTGTAAACATACTGCTGCTACTGTACAGGTGTAAACATACTGCTGCTACTGTACAGGTGTAAACATACTGCTGCTAATGTACAGGTGTAAACATACTGCTGCTAATGTACAGGTGTAAACATACAGCTGCTAATGTACAGGTGTAAACATACTGCTGCTACTGTACAGGTGTAAACATACTGCTGCTACTGTACAGGTGTAAACATACTGCTGCTACTGTACAGGTGAACAAACTCTAACTGACTCTAATCCGTCCACAGAGAAGAAGACCAAAAGCTACTTTGCAAATGTGTTGAAAGGAAAGAGCCTCACTCTGCCAAAGGGAGACAAAGGTACATTTATTCTGCCAAAGGGAGACAAAGGTACATTTATTTGCCAAAGGGAGACAAAGGTACATTTATTCTGCCAAAGGGAGACAAAGGTACATTTATTTGCCAAAGGGAGACAAAGGTACATTTATTCTGCCAAAGGGAGACAAAGGTACATTTATTCTGCCAAAGTGCGACAAAGGTACATTATTCTGCCAAAGGGAGACAAAGGTACATTTATTCCGCCAAAGTGAGACAAAGGTACATTTATTCTGCCAAAGGGAGACAAAGGTACATTTATTCTACCAAAGGGAGACAAAGGTACATTTATTCTACCAAAGGGAGACAAAGGTACATTTATTTTCCAAAGTGCGACAAAGGTACATTATTCTGCCAAAGGGAGACAAAGGTACATTTATTCTGCCAAAGTGCGACAAAGGTACATTATTCTGACAAAGGGAGACAAAGGTACATTATTCTGCCAAAGGGAGACAAAGGTACATTATTCTGCCAAAGGGAGACAAAGTTACATTTATTCTGCCAAAGGGAGACAAAGGTACATTTATTCTGCCAAAGTGAGACAAAGGTACATTATTCTGCCAAAGGGAGACAAAGGTACATAAACTGAAGTGTTTTTGTTTCAGGGGAAAACGAACTGAAGACAAAGAAGATGAAATCTGGAAACATCCGCCGTAAGTTTGTTTCATGTTTGATGTTTCCAGTAAAACCACAGTGGAATACTGTCCCCAGTGAGTGTCGGACCAGTACCGTAAGTACTGGACTATGAGCTGCGGCTTTTTGAAGGGTGTGGCTTTTACTCAGCTGCTGCTTTTACTCAGGTGCAGCTTATACTCAGGTGCGGCTTATACTCAGGTGCTGCTTATACTCTGGTGTTGCTTATACTCAGGTGCGGCTTATACTCGGGTGCGGCTTATACTCAGGTGCGGCTTATACTCAGGTGCGGCTTATACTCAGGTTTTTCCTCAGGTGTGGTTTATACTCAGGTTTATACTCAGGTGTGGCTTATACTCAGGTTTTTCCTCAGGTGTGGCTTATACTCAGGTTTTTCCTCAGGTGTGGCTTATACTCAGGTTTATACTCAGGTGTGGCTTATACTCAGGTTTTTACTCAGGTGTGGCTTATACTCAGGTTTATACTCAGGTGTGGCTTATACTCAGGTTTTTACTCAGGTGTGGCTTATACTCAGGTTTATACTCAGGTGTGGCTTATACTCAGGTGTGGTTTATACTCAGGTTTATACTCAGGTGTGGCTTATACTCAGGTGTGGTTTATACTTAGGTGTGGCTTATACTCAGGTTTATACTCAGGTGTGGTTTATACTCAGGTTTATACTAAGGTGTGGCTTATACTCAGGTTTATACTCAGGTGTGGCTTATACTCAGGTGTGGTTTATACTCAGGTTTATACTCAGGTGTGGCTTATACTCAGGTGTGGTTTATACTCAGGTGTGGCTTATACTCAGGTTTATACTCAGGTGTGGTTTATACTCAGGTTTATACTAAGGTGTGGCTTATACTCAGGTTTATACTCAGGTGTGGTTTATACTCAAGTTTATACTCAGGTGTGGTTTATACTCAGGTTTATACTCAGGTGTGGCTTATACTCAGGTTTTTACTCAGGTGTGGCTTATACTCAGGTTTATACTCGGGTGCTGCTTATATTCGGGTGCTGCTTATACTCAGGTGCGGCTTATACTCAGGTTTATAATCAGGTGTGGCTTAAACTCAGGTTTTTACTCAGGTGTGGCTTGTACTCAGGTTTTTACTCAGGTGTGGCTTATACTCAGGTTTATACTCAGGTGTGGCTTATACTCAGGTGTGGTTTATACTCAGGTTTATACTCAGGTGTGGCTTATACTCAGGTGTGGTTTATACTCAGGTGTGGCTTATACTCAGGTTTATACTAAGGTGTGGCTTATACTCAGGTTTATACTCAGGTGTGGCTCATACTCAGGTGTGGTTTATACTCAGGTGTGGTTTATACTCAGGTTTATACTCAGGTGTGGCTTATACTCAGGTTTTTACTCAGGTGTGGCTTATACTCAGGTTTATACTCGGGTGCTGCTTATATTCGGGTGCTGCTTATACTCAGGTGCGGCTTATACTCAGGTTTATAATCAGGTGTGGCTTAAACTCAGGTTTTTACTCAGGTGTGGCTTGTACTCAGGTTTATACTCAGGTGTGGCTTATACTCAGGTGTGGTTTATACTCAGGTGTGGCATATACTCAGTTGTGGCTTATACTCAGGTCTGGCTTATACTCAGGTCTGGCTTATACTCAGGTCTGGCCCATGCTCAGGTCTGGCTTATACTCAGGTGTGGTTTATGCTCAGGTGTGGCTTATACTCAGGTGTGGCTTATGTTCAACAGTCGAGCAATAGAACTGAAAATTTGTTCACAGACGTCCAAATAAATTCTAATGAAACAGATTAAATGTTTAAAAGTCCTCATTATCATTTGTTTAAATATCTCATAATTAATAGTTTTTTGGTTCTTTGACCTGAAAGTGACAGAAACCACTCCTTTCTCTTTCACACTGAAAACAACAGCAGTCAGAGACACTTCTTACTTATATATATACTGTCTTATATTTGATCTCACCGTCCTAACCTCACGGCCTTCCTTCCTGCAGTCGCCATCTCCGCCCATAAAACCACGGTCCTGAAGCGCACTGAACAACTGAAGAGTTACTCAGAGGGAGACGCCACATCAGCCAACTCGGCCTCGCACATCGAGATCCGCTACACCGACCTGTTCGTGACGGAGGACGATGACCTCGCCGACCATAACAGCCGTCACGAGTACTTCGACCTGGCCAGCCGTAGAGCTCGCATCTACGTCCACCAGGCCTGCCAGCGCGTCCAGCCCTGC